TTAGCTTTTCAATTAATTTCTTCTGAAGCAAAAATGCTTCCATTTTCCTTAGGTTAAAGTACAAATTTCTTAAGACAGCTTGAGGGATCTTCATAATCCGGCACCTATTTATCTCTTCAGCCCCATTCTTCACCACTCCTATGGTGCCTGCGCTTCTGGCACTGCCTCATCCATCCATACTATGCTCCTAAGGTTTTTCCAAGCAATCCAAGCTCTCTATCTCTTCATTTGCCATTAACACAGGTCTAGCAAACTCCATCCACCCTCGTCACAAAGCTAAGTACCTTTCAGGGTTCAACCTAAGCTGAAGATGTCACTTCCCCTGGGATAAATTTCCCTGGCTCCCTGAACTGGGATAATCTCCTCTTCTAAGTGTCTCTGTAACACATTTAGCACTTAATCAAAGTGTACCACAATCAGATACAAGTCCACACCTCAACTGACTGTGGAAACCATGTTCACCAATATTCACCATCACCTAGCCCAGTGGAATAAGTGAGTGAGGTAATTAAATAAATCCCCAAGCAACACAATGCTTACAAAAAATTAGAACCCAATGGTTCTTGGTTCAGGAACACAATATTCTTTCCACTGAACTTCATGGCACTTAATTTTACTTTCATAAACAATTCAATGTTAATTAGGTATAAGCATGTAGCACAGAGTTAAAAAGAATCTAGATACCATCTTATTTTATAATTAAAGTGATGCCCAGAAAGGTTATTACATGCCAAAGACCAAAACACCATAAAACAGCAAAGTCAAGATTAGGCATTTTGATGTTCTTTAATTACATACTTTAATCTCATGAATTAAGTTTTTTTAATTGTTTAAAGTGAAAAACCTTAAAGTTCATTTTCTTCTAGGACAGCAATGTTATTAAAAACAGCACATGAATCATCAATTCATGAGTTTTCACAAAATCACCTAAAATGTTATTAACATGCAAACATTTCATTATGATGTAAGATTAATGAAGATATTACTGAATCATTATACATTAAAAACAACATTTAGGCATCAATCATGTTGAAGACACTGTGGATGTAGTCAATGACTATGCAAAGAGATAAACAACAGAATTCCTACTCTTAGGACGCTTAAAATATGTTTTAGAAAACAAGAGCCAAGCATTACAGAATTAAATAGAAAAATTAGGCGACTGTAATTAAACTGTTAAGACTTTCAAAGGAAAAGATGTTCTTCTAAGGAGTTGAGGCAACTGTAAAAATACATGCAACCGAGCGCCTGGGAATCAGCACTTCTTAGCTTCATCAGCTGAAACAATGAAACTTCAGTATCAATGATCATACCCTACTACCCAGTTCCAAATACTCCTGCCCAGTTCAAGAAACCAGAACTCCTTGAATAAGTGACTAATTCTAAAACATAACTGGAAAAAGCAGACGAACCTGGCCTATCTTACTGTTCCAAAAGTAAGGAAGTACTCCAAAAGTGATAGAAGCATGTCAAACAATCAATGAGTTAGTTGAAATCAAGTTCCTACTGACCAAATCTCAGTTAATTTGAAACATCAAAATAAGTACTGGTAGATAATAGATTATAACCTACTTCATCTGAATTCATATTGATTTTATTTTTTTTAAAGATTTATTTATTCATTTTTTATTTATTTATACAAGCACTGGGTAGAGTCAGAAGCGCGGGAGGGTGAGAGAATCCATCAGAGCCAGAGCGGGGAGCAGAACAGGCAGAAGGACCAAAGTACACTGCTGAGGGGAGCAGCGGGCGGCAGGAGAGGTCTGAGCTCCATGTGGGACCCTCCTCCGGTGGCCGGGGAGCAGCCCGGGATCGAACCGGCGCTGCAGAGGCCGCAGGCAGCTTCGCAACCCAGCGCTCAACCGCTGCGCCACCGGGGAGGCCCTCATATTGATTTTAAATAAACAAAGAAAAGAACCGCCCTTCTTTACAATGGAGTGCTAAATGAAAATACAGAAAGAAAAATAAATTAAAAAAGCACCATTTTGGAAACACTGTGTACAAACCACTGTTGCTTGATTCTTCCAGACAAGAAACATCAGTGAATGCTAAAACCACGTGAAAGCTGTTTGGGAAGACAATATTTACACAGTCTCAAACTGTCTCCTCACAGGTTATTATTCAACAATAACTGAGAGAGCAATGATAATTTTTACATGGAGAAAACTGGAAGGCAAACCTTAATTAAGTGATCCAAGTAAACATCACCAACAAACTGACAACAAATTGCCTCCTGCTGTGATGCACTGAGGATATATCATCAGTTATTCCTGCCCAAAACGTGTAACCTGAATTTAACCACAAAGAAGCAATATGACAAACCCAAAGCCATAGACATCCTACAAACAAAAGTTCTGTACTATTCAAAACTATGAATGTCAAGAAAAAGAAAACAGGACTGTTTCAGATTAAAGGAGACAAGACAACTAAAATGGAATGGACAAGACTGTAAGAGAAAAAAGGGTGTTAAAAAATATTACTGGCAAAACTAAAGTGATTTCAACATGACCTATATATTATAGTGTCAATATTAAATTTCTTGAATCCATCATACTGTGGTGATACACGAGTATGTCCTTGTTCTTAGGAACTATCAACTAGAGCATTTAGGGGTAAAGGATCATGATGTGTGCCACCTGCTTTCAAGTGGTTCAGGGTAAAAATAATTATAATAGGAAGAGGAAGAAAAAGAAGGCAAGGGGGGGTGGAAGAGGACAACAGGGGAGAGGAAAAAAGGAGCTCTAGAGAGCAGATTCCTGCTATCACATCACAAGACAGAGGCTCAGTGACAATTTATGACCACATATTAAACATAAACCGTCAGCAAGCACATAGTGCATTAATGCAGTTTCCATCCGTCCTTCGTGTGCATCTGATGATACACACCTCTGACTTTAACCAAATAAACTTGCATCTTTGGCTTATTCAGGAAGATGTAATCAAGGAGTCAAGCAGCTTCAAATCACAATGAAATAGCTTCTGTTTCCAGACCTCTACAAATACAATTAATAATAAACAAATCTGTCAAATGTTAACAACTGTTGAATCTAGGTGACAGGTACATGAACTTCACTGTACTGTTCTTACAACTAAGTTTTTCCCCAAAACAAACAGATTAAAAAAAAAAAACTAATTACTTTTCAACATAATTACTTTGGGAGAACTGAGCCATTTTTGAAAAACAAAATCTTAACTTCCAGATTCCTCTTCCCCTTTCTTTTCATAATCTGTGTCAAATTAAGTTTAACACAATTAAGAAAAAAGTTTTTGGTATCAAAATGAACATTTTGCCAAGGCAGTCCCCAACCTGCAAATAAGGAATGTTCCAAAAGTTCATCTACAAGTCAGCTATTTAGAATGTGAAATAATTTTCATTATGACAAACAGTGGTTAGGTTTCTAATGCTGGCCACAGAAGCTTTTCGATAAATCTTCCTTAGCAATACAGCTGAATTAGGAGTACATTTCACAGATACTGTGGTAAAGTGCACAGGGTCCCCTTCTTGAGTCTTTCCAAAAAGCAAACAAACAAACAAAAAAAACAAACATGAAACTAGCTGCATAAGCTATATGGAGGGAATTGAGACGATGGTTAGTAAGGAGCAACTAGTAACTAATTCTAATTTCTACAGTTTTTCCAGGGCTATACACTTCAAACTAGAAATACAGCCATCATATAAGTAGGCTGGCTACTTACCATCCAAGGTGGCGGCAAAATGCAATCTTAGGAAATGCTACTCGTTCTTGGAGCCTTCTAGCCTGACCAAAAATTCTGATGACAAAGTTATTAGTATGTACTGAAAACATTTAAGGTAGTTTTTTTAATAATCTGAAAAGTACCTCTCTAATTTTTAAAGTCTAAGTTAGTAAAACTGGTTTCTGGCTGGCCCTTTTAATTGATTAGGATGACTTCCACTTAATATTTAGTAAATGTTCACTTATCATGATAGACTGCTGAAGACTGAGCATACAAAAAAAGAGCAAAAACAGTCTTTGATATAGGAATTCAATCTAGCAAAGAGTGACATCAATTACAATACTCTATCTAGTCTAAAACAGGTTGTATTCTACAAATGTGTATCAACAGCAAAGGAGAAAAACTTTTTCTAAAGTGAGAAAAATGGGCTATCACAGATGACATTTAAGCCACAACTTAAATAGTTTAATAGGTATATGAGCAAGGAAGCATCCAATCCCTATAAAAACATGAACAAAGATACAGAAACATCCGCGTAGACATTTACTGTCTTGCCAGTGCTGGCTGTGTGCTACTGGATGCTGTGGATTCAGCTGTCAACAAGACAGACAAGGACTCTGCCTTCATGGAGTTTACATTCAGATAATGGAGAAAGACAATAAATAATCAATATCTAAACAAACAAGATGTGACCAAATCACAGTGAGTGTTGCCAAGGAAATAAACATGATGCATGAAAGAGTAACTAATGGAGTGCAACATTAAATAGGATGGTCTGAACAGACAAGCAAGATGTGGGCCAAGTTCCAAATGGTCTGGCCATGCCAGTCTTACAAGCACATCTCAAGCAAATTAGTACAAAAAGTGCAAAAGGCCTTAAAATGGGAAAGAACACAGAGAGTTTGAAGAACACAGAGGCGCTTGCTGCGGGCCTCCAATAAATGAGGGGAAGAAGGATGTGGAGAAAAATCCTCCAGGGTTATTCAGGCCATGGAAAGGAGAACGGGCTTTGTTTTAAGGGGGAAGAAGAAGTTACAGGGCAATGTTAAGCAAAGAAACGACATGATTTAGGCTCTTAAAATGATCCCTAGGGCTGCTGTGTGAAGAAAGAATTGGTGCGGTACCAAGAAAAGTAATTAAGAACTCCAGTTAGGAAGTAATTCATGCAAGAGATGATGCCTTGAAATGAGTAAGTGGCAGTGAAGACTGAGAAGGGTGGACTAGCTCAAGGTAAATTCTAAAGACACAACAGAACTTATGGACCGGTTGGACTTGAGAAAAAAGAAAAGACTCTAGAATGATACCTTAAATTTGGGGCTTGAGCACTGCCAAAAACTTAAGAGATGGGGAAGGCTGGGAGACATCAGGTCCTGGGTAAAAGGGAGGAAAGACGAAAAAGGTTTAGAAAGAGGAACAAAGAGCTACAATTTAGTCACATGGCTAATATTATGCTTGAGATTCCAACCAGATTTCCAAGTGGAGATCAAGTACAGGGAAATTCTGGGCCAGAGAAATAAAAATGGGAGTCATCAACACGAAAAACCATGACCTTTTCAGGGACGAGCAAACAGACGGCCTTCACCAGGTCATACAAAATGAAGGGCAGTGGCTGACGATGTGTGTGGAGAAACAGGATAGAAAATGATGAAGTTAGCCATGACCTAGTAATAGCAATAACAGTAACAGCAATGGTAGTAATATGAAGGGAAGAAATAACAGCCTATTAGGTACCAGACACTGCTAAAGGTTTTATAATATACATCCCATTTAATCCTCTCAGCAAGCCTAATGCAGATAATATAATCAGTATTTTATACAGTACACATCAAGAAGACTGAGAACTTGCCAAAGACTGCAAAGTGCTGCAGTGGGTATTCCAATTGAGGCAGTCTGGCCTCCATTCTAGAGGCCAATCTCTTATCCCCTGCATTACTGCCTCTGCTGATTTTATATGCCTTCAAACTTTTTTTAAAAGAATGACATTTAGATCTGAATTTTAAGAATACAATCTCAGTCTCTATATAAAAGATGGATTGCCAGAGGAAGGGATAAGAGGTGAGACAGGCAAACACAGTCAATGCAAAAGCACCTTGTTTTAATAAAACAACTGTTGCAGTTATCATCCCAGGTTAAATGAAGAGAATCCCTTTGTTCCACCAGTCACAAATCATACTACAAACTAATTCAAATCAATCTGTACATGCATGTTGCTCCTAACAAAAATAATCCAGTAAAAAGATTCAGTTCATGCAGTTCCATCCACCACCAAAATACTTCTCAAACATATTCATTAAGTTACATTTTTTTAAGACATATACAAATTTCTTGTATAAATGAAGAAAATAAAATAGGTACTGAGTTCAAGGCAACCATAATAAAATGTGCCTTGGTCAATCTTTATTATAAGTCTGAATGACTAGTGTCTGCTTTTCCTTCCCCTAACTTTCAGCAACATCATTTCTTAAACTGATGAAGAGGTAAATTAACTGCTGTCATCTGCCAATGTTCAAATATTTGGTATGCCTCACAAATGAGCTAATTTTTTTAAACACTTATGCCTGTGGGATTATCTCAAGTGATTACAAAAGCAAACATATAATTATATTTAATAAAATATTAAGCTTAACAAATACAAATAATTAGTAAATCATTAATAACAAACATCTATAATAAAAACGTTTATTAAATATGTGCCAACACATATCCAATGTTATGCATGGAACTTATTAACAAATAAGATTTTACTCTCAATTATAATAAACTGGACACAGGGTCCATTCATTGTAGAGTACACAGACAAAGTATACACAGATAAGGCATACACAATAAAATCCTTTAGTTCCACAGAGCAGGCAAAATGAAGTATAAAGAATTACAGATTACCTACTAAAGAAAATGTTTTAAAAATACACCTATTCTAGGTAAGTTATAAACATATTTTTCTAATTTCAAATTTTAAATATTGTATTTTGTAGACAACAGTAATCCCTAAGAGAGATATTTCACTGAAAAGTAGGGAAAACATATCTGACTCTAATTTTTAAAAATATTTGGGGATATTATGAAGGTTAGGCTGAAACAATGGCTTCATATCAAACACCTAACAGAATTCCTTAGCCCACACTAAAAGCATGCTATGTATAATTTGACAATGAACGTAAGATGCTGGGATATTTTATCCCATATACATTCTATATTTACACAGTATAAGAAGTTCTTTTAGTCAGACACTAAACATAAGCTTACAGAAAAGAAGGGATATATGTAGAGATATAGAGTGATATACAGATACATAGTTATATATGGGGGGGGGGAAGTGATGAAGGAAGATCAGACATTAAGTATTTTAGTACATTAAGACTCAGGCAGTGTGCTAGAGACTTTCACACCCATTAATTCATTTAATTTTAACAATTCCACAGGGCAGTTAGTGTAATTCCTTCCCATTTTACAGAAGATGTCTCATAACTTTTGTCAGGGGAGGAGCTGGGACCTGAATCAAAATCTGATGACTAAGTCAACAGCTTTTTTTTTTTTTAATGAGGGCTTGCAAATCAGCTCCACCTGTTAAAGCATTCTCTTGCAGGAGTATATCTAACTGGAAGACTGGTTTGATTCTCCATATTTACACTTCTCAATTCACAAAGAATATTCTCAGGTTTTCTTTTTAATGTGGAAAAAAGCAAAACTGATCATTTTCAATCCACAAAGCTGAGTTTTCACTGACCCATCAGACCAAAAAGAAAATGTCAGCTAGACTTTGTAACATTCACATTAATGGTAACATGAGTTTATCTTCCAAAACAAAATGGGAGCATGGACTGATTAAAAAAGATAGACTATATGAAATTAGGAATGTCCACAGAAGATCTAGGACCATTATGAGTTGTGTTACACTAAATTCCTCTTGCAAGCATCAAAGGGAGGGGAGAAAGATGGTTTTCCAAAACCTGACTTGACAATACACCCAACTCTCCATTAACAAATTTACTTGAGGCTTTCTCCTCTTAAATCAGGACGCAAATCTACTTAAAAGATTTAATTTAAAAGATTTAGTTTGAACTACTTCAAACTTCAAAATCACGTTCTAATAACCACGTTCAAAACTACTCAACCACCCTCAGAATACACTTGTCCTATTTCTTTCTTAGTAACCAAACAATGAGTAACATCACAATTGTTTGAATTTTTTAAACAGTGGTATTAATCTTCATTGCATTCAGAATGGGAAACACAAGCTATGTGCAGCTGTCTGAAAAATCATCACTCAAAAAAACACATCTTTAAGATTTCCAATTCCATTTAAAAAAAAACAAATGGGTATTTGTCACAAATAACCACTAAAGAAATACAAAAACTAGGAATGCGACAAGAGATTAATCTCAAGCCATACTTCAACCCAGTGACATTAAAATTATTAATATCTGAGCCCCAATGAGCTATTTTCCTTCCATTAAAGTCTCCCCATACCACTTACTCCCCTCAATAATTTAATTTTTTAAAAACTCTGCTGAGGATTTAAGGAGCTAAATATAATTTTATCACCTTCGTTCCGATGGGAATAAAACTGTAGTTTTATATATGAGGGTAGTGTGAGTTAAATGAAATAGACAAGCAAGTAGCTGTTTAAAGAGGTCACTATTACTTCAGTGTTGACCATATAAGCTTCTAGTAGAAGCACTCTTCCAACAGAATGGTTAATCTAAAAACTGAGTCTACAAAGTATTACAATCACTAGTTTCACCTCTTCAGAGTATTTCCATCATTATAATGCCATTACCACAACTTTTTACAATTAATTCACCAAGAATTAAGTGATTCCATAATCAATTAGTGCATCATACAGAATACTAACCTTAACGGTACACATGACAGAAAGCGTGCGCTTATTACGTCTGCTATAAAGTCTTTTTAAAACTGGCCAACTCTCCAGTGAAAAATCACATTTGACTTTTTTTCTAAAACAAAAGTTGTCATTCACAGGTAAAGAAATAAGACGAAAGACTAAGATCTTCAAAAACATATCTTTAAAAATACATTCAAAAGCCATAATAGCACTATTTTACCCTCACTTCCTAAACTCGTATTATTAAAAGAAACGCTATTTTGTTTTCAAAACCATGTTAAAACTTTTGTTTACCTATTCCACAGACTGTTCAAGTACTGCCAAAGTAACACAGATTTTAAAACTGACAACTGGATTGCTGTCAGTAGCCAAAACAACACAGCTGGATTCTTAAAGGGAAAGTCCTCTTGTGTAATGTACACTTAATTATAGCTTTAGGAAAACTTCTCTTCGCGTAGTAATAGATGACACAAGACACAAGGGAATCATGCTGTGCTACAAAGCTTGACAATTTTTAGACAGTATTTAAAATTACACAGACTATTGATAACACATCCCCGCAGGCCTTTCTACCTGCACATTTAGTAGCACCCCCATTTCACTGTAAACGAAAATGCAGGTGTACACGCTGTTGCTGTTGGCCAATCTCCACATGGTTCCCTGCTGGACCACGGCCGGAGACTCGATACCTGCCTCAGGAATCGCCCCTCAGGTCCGAGGAACACTTTCGAGTTATCCTTTCCCAGGGGCAGGAGACGTTTTGGTGTCTGATGCAGAAATGCTCCCCTTTTCCCAACTTGTCTGCACGGTCTCCCCAACGAGTTTAACCCTCAGTTTAAAAAGAGATGAACTGGAGCCAAAGCAAAGGCTAAGTTTCCATCACACGCAACCTTCCCCGCGCCGCGGGATGGACCAGGACGCCCAGGGGCAGCGAAAGGGCCGCCTCTGCGCACCCCCCGCCCCGACCGCCCCAGCCCGGCCGGGCGCCCGCACCTGCAGGTGCCCCCGGCCCGGGTCCCCGCCGCGGTCCGTCCCCCAAACCCACCCGACTCCTCCCCCCGCACACGCGCGCACACCCCGAGATCGGACCTAACGTTCCGCCCCGTTACACCAACCTTCCGAAGCAGAAGTGGGGGAACTTCTCCAAGTCCCCCAAGCGCGCCGCGCGCCCCGACACCAGGGGCCACCCCTTCGGGGAGACCCCGGCCGCCGAGGGCGGGGAGGAGGCCGGGGCCCGCGGGCGTTGCGCCCCGGGGAGGCTCCTGGGCCCCGGGGAACTCCTTCAACTTTCCCGAGGGCGACGTCCACCGCCGCCCCCCGGCTCCGGCGCGCCGCGCGCCCCGGGAGGCTCCGCGCGCCCGGCCCGAGCCGCCGCGCCGCCCGCCGCCCCCCGCGAGCCCCGGGCCCGCCCTCGGGGCACCCCGCCCCCACCCGCCCGCGCCTCGCCCCTCGGCGCCGACCCCGGCGCGACCCCCGCTGCCCGGCGCCCCGCAACCCCACCCCCGCGGCGCCGCGCCGCGCGCCCCCCGCTCGGGCCCCGGCCGGCCGGACGCGGCCCCGTCCCGGCGCCCCCGGAGCCCCCGCGCCCCGCGGGCGCCCCTCCACGGCCGCGCCGCCCCCCGCGCCGGGCCCCCCAGCCCGCCCCGGCCCCCTCGCCGGGACGCCGCTCCCCACGGCCCCGCCAGGCCCCGGCCGCGGCGCTCACCGTGTTTCCGGCGCGGCTGACGGGCGCACACACGCCGCTGCCCCGGCCCGCCGCCCGCGCTCCGCGCCGCCCGGAGCCGCCTCCCTCAGCCCGGGACTCGCCGGGACAGCCGCGCACGGATCCCCACACCGGGGCTATTTTTAGGAGCCAGGCCCCGGCCGGACCGGAACTCGTTCCAGCCGCGCGCGTGCGCACTGCGCGACGCGCCCGTGTCCCTCCGCCGGCCGCGCCTCTCCCGCCCTGGCCCGGGGCGGCCTTTCTCTCCGCGGGCGCGAGGCCGCCGCTCCGCGCTGACTCAGCCCCGCGCTGGGTCCTAGAGCTCTCGGCCGCGGCAGGGCGCGGGCGCGGGCCGCCTCTCCCCGCGGGGCGACGGGGCCGTCCGCAAGGACGCGCGGGCGGACTATGTTTCCGGGCGGGCGCGGCGACGGAGCGCCGGCGCAGGAAGGGCTGACGGGGCCGGCGCCGGGGCCGCCGCGGAGCGGGGCTCCTGGACGGGATGCGGGTCACTTGAGGAGGCCGGGGCGCCTCCCAGGGCGG